GTTCTTATGTTCTTATGTTCTTATCTGCAGCTCCCTCTGAAGCTGGAGACTCAGTACTGGATGGAGAACTGGGACATCGGCTGATCAGCAGGAAGGTGTTAGACCGGCTGGAGAAATACAAAGCAGGAGGATCATCATCTGGTTATGGAACACAGACATCTGCATCTGCAGCTCCATCTGAAGCAGGAGATTCAGAAGAGGGATTGAGACATCAGATGTTAAGCAAGATAATTAAACCATTTACTGGGAAATGACATTGTAATGAACTGTTCAGTATGTAAAATCAAGTGAGCAGGTGCCCCACTGGATAACATGGTTATCTTCTCCTTCGTATGCAGTGAAGGTTTTGGCACCCATTTGTGTCTTGAGCTGCTCAGTGTAAGACTGGTTCTGGGAGGGACAGTGAAAAGAACCACATGAAACAGGGATAACAGACAGGAATAAGGACCTTATTTGGGGACAGGAGCAAAGAAAAGTCTTAAGACAATAGTGGGGAGGAACACAAACAATAGTCACCATTTTGGCTTCAGCTGAGAGAGCAAACAGAACCAGCTGTATATGATCAGTAATATCAGAAAGTATTACTACTGCATTATAGTGAGCAGACACTCTGAAGTGAGTCATGTGGAAAGTGACAGACTGCACTGTAACAGTAATAAATTCATTACTGTTGGGATTCACTAAGCTGAGAGTCTGGAGGGTTTCAGGATGTGCCTGCCAAGACTCCACAGGGGTTCACAGTCAGATATTCCACGGTTATAAAGACCGCTAATGTGAGGCCGGTTGCTGAGACAAAGATGCACATCGTACCCAAGCCAAGACTTTTAATATCAATGATATAGTATGCATTTACACTAACAAATATTATGTATCACTAATTGTATGTATCACTATGATCTGTATCAATTTTCATAAAATAAAGCCCCTTGTCTTTCTCGAGCTGTGGTGTGGATCCTTGTCCTCCACCATGTCGCTGAGGGACATTTGGTTGCTTCATTTTGAATTTGATACAAGACAGTGAAGCACTGAGCCATGTGTGGATTGTACTGGTTGAAGATTTTGAGTCAAAAAGGTTGCTATTGAGAGCTGACATCTTTGAGGAGTACGTTATATGCATATATTAATCTAGTGACGGTATATGTGTGTGCGTGTATGTGTGTGTGTGTGTGCGAGCGGGTTTACCTATCCTTATGGGGACATAATGTCCCCATAACGTGATAAATATATGGTTTTTTTTTCCTTATGGGGACCGGTGTGTGTGTGTGTGTGTGTGTAGATACCTGGGAAAAGTTATTGACCAACACCTCACCTTTGAAGCAAATTACAAAGCAGTGTGCAGAAAGGGGCACCAGCGCCTGTTCTGTTTGAGTCGTTTCCACATTGATGAATCCATAATGATGTTATTTTACTGTGATTTTACTGAATCAGTTTTATTATTTTCCTTGGTGCCATGGTTTGGAAACCTTTCCCTAAAGAACAAAAATACATTTGCACTACCGAGCTCTCTTCAGGGTCTGCGGAACTAACCGGATGCAGCTATTACGAAGCGAGGTCACAGAGTATTCAATACAACTTCTTCTTGCCTAAAGCCTAAGACATACAGACCCAATATGCCTCCCCTCCCGGGCCTACCAATGTCCAATTTTCCTTTCACAACCTCACAAAGTATTGTTTTTTGCAAGATAAACTGACGATTATACAGTAGCTGTCAAGAAATACATCCCCTGTGTTTCAGACCAAAGTATGAACAGATAACATAATGTAATCTAAACGTCTCTTGGAAACGTTCATGGGAGACCTATTGCATTGCATATTAGCTGATGAAAGCTAAGGCAAAAGAACCCCAAGGATGCACTGGTAGCACCATTTCCTACTAATATTTATGAAACACAATAATAATAATAATACAGGGGGATGCATTATTTGTCAAGCTCGATTTTATAGCTGCCCAGATTTGCATCCCCCTTTTTTCGTGAGGTACATGCAGTTCTCGGCAGACACACAAAACTCGGCATAACACACCAGCAGTGCCACACCTCGAAATTTGGTGATTATTAGTCGCTGCTTTGGTCCATTTAGCCACGTTAAGCCTTTTAGAATGTTCTAGCTTACCAAAAGTGAAAGTGGTTCAGGCTAAAGGAACTGTACAACAAACCTGCCCAAACAGGTTTTTGTTAATCATTGTCAGCCTGTAAGTTTGTTTTCAGTCTGTCTTTCTTATTTCTGCTCATTTCACTATTTATCGATTTTGCCTCCAGTGTTTGTTTATTAGTAGTGGTGTTTGGTCCTGGCTCCAGAGTATTAGTTAAGTTTTTATTCCTGCTTACAGACGTTTCCTCTTGGATTATCTTGGATTCCTCACAGCCACGTCGATCTCTCACTTCCAGGCTTCTCTCAGGTATGAACCGCCACCTAATCTGAGAATGATAGTGAGCTTAATGTATATGATGAAACAATCGCAACAAGTTACATAGTTACAAAAAATGAATTTTTGTAGGGAAAGCACAGTACAATCAGCTTTTGAAATTGCATTTTTTTTTACATTTGTGTATAGGGAAGTAGATTTGGTTAATTTGTGTTTCAGATCTGAGGCTACATTACTGACTGACAGCTTTATTTAAGTGTAATTTTTAACTGTGTTGGAACACAGCAATTTTAAAGTGCTTTGAGTCATTTAAAACTGTACAGATGAGCCTGGATCGCTCACAGCGACTACGCCATTAACCCGAACTACACGCCAGAGTATTTTCAGATGCCCTGTTTTAGTTCTTATTGTTGTTGGTATTAAACCAGCAGAACCAGTTTTGTTGCAAGGTTTTGTTTTGACATGTCAGACAGCCGAGCGCTTTTCTGCCCTGTTCCTCCCTGGTCGTGTATCTTCCCCCCTGGATGCCTTCGTGTGCCTCTTCTCCGTGACCCTGTTGTCCATGATGAGGCTGAAGTTGGTTCAATAGGCGGCAGTTTCTTATCCACAAGATTTGTTCCACCTTAAATAGACATAATGCATGTTCTGCCGTATTGACAGTAATTAAACTTAAGAAACAGTTATTACTGATGACATACAACTCTTAGAAACTCCATTCTGATGTGCTGCATACTTACAAGAAATCATAAACACATACAGGGCCCACTAACACTCGTGAAACTGTAAAAGATGGTATAAGCTAACTTATCCATTTTTTTCTATGCAGGTGGAAGATAGAGTATTCTAAATTTCAGCTTGTGGTAAAACTACACATTTTGGGCACTTTGGCACTTGTGAAACCTGTAGGTAATTTGTGAAATTCACTTAAATGCATCATATCCATCATTTTCTAGGCAGGTGGAACATAGAGCATCCTAATGCTCAAAAGACAAAGAAACCTGTTAATAAATTTTAGCTTGTGGTCAGTGGATTTCATATTTCAGTGTTTATCATAAATTTGTATGTATCAAAAGTTATACCCGTTTAATGAAAATCATCAGTAAAGTGGCATCAGATTAGTTATAATACCAAAGGGACTGTCACAGACACCCCTCCGAAAGCCCACCAACTAGATGGCCAGCCATTGGTTCAGGTGTCAGGTTCCTGGTCATCCCTATTCATGAACTCTAGACCATAAAACCTGGGACCTCAGAGCAGCCCTGCAAGAAGCCCTCCAGAGAAGCCCTCCAAAAACCATCAAGAAATCGCCAGACCACTACAAAGCCCAGTAAAGAAGCCCATCCTGAAGCCTGCCGATGAAGGCCTGCTACCCAACAGTGAACTGCAACCCCAAGACAAAGCCTTTCACCTTAAAGCTTCCCGAGGAGAGAGAATCAAAGGGGCTCCACTCCAACAATCACTCCAAACGCCACACCTTCCTGAGTGCCACCATTCCCTCAGCTCATCACCTCTGCAATCTACTGCCAAGACCCCCCCCCCTCCACTCTGCAAGCAAGTAAACCAACTTCCATTCATTCTAACAGCCTAAACTGTTCTGTTAAATCTGATTTATAAGGTTGTGTTTCCACAAACTATGCTTGCTTTGCAGGACAGTATTTCCATTTTAAGGTTACCCATTTAAATCTGGTCACTACATTTTCAGATTACATTCTGTTTGGTTCTATTCCGTTATTTTGTGTTTGTTGATTATGTTAAGTGTAATGTCTGTCTTGTGTTAGTGTAGTGTTAGTTAGGAATAAATGCATGTCTTTTATACAACTGATCTACTTAGATTTCCAGAAGGCCTTTGATGTTGTCCCCCACAAACAGCTCTTGCTAAAGCTGCAGAGATTTTAGGAACTGTGGCGGCTTGGATCAAAAACTGGTTAACTGACAGGAAGCAGCGAGTAGTTATTAGAGGCACAATGTCACAGTGGGCCTGCGTTCATAGTGGGGTACTGCAGGGTTCAATTTTAGGACCACTATTGTTCCTAATTTACATTAATGATATTG